AGGTGGTTAGAGGGTAGTGTGTATTTGATATAGGGTCATTTGGGGTGGCCGGAATATGACCGGATGGTTGTCGGAGTTTGGGTTAAAGTCACGGTTCTGAAAATGCAATATCACATTTGATGCACACCAAATGTTTGTAAAAATGCCTTAATGAAGAAGCCTTAAAACGGTGTCATTTTGGCATCGCTCCTGCTGGAGTTTGATCGATGCCAGCCAAGCCGGTCCAACGTGATTGGACCGGACTGAACTAGTCCGGTTCGGTTTTGGGAAATAAAAAAATTAATAAAAAAATCGTAAAAAAATCATAAAAATTAGAAAATTCATAAAAATAGAAAAAATTTCTAAAAAAATAGAAAATTTCTAAAAAATTTAGAAAATTCAGGAAATTCCCCAAAAAATTCAGAAAAATCTGAAAAATAAAAAATTCTAAAATTTCTTAAAAATCCTAAAAATGAAGAAAATGAAGAAAATTTCAAAAAAAAAATCAGAAATTTTAGAAAATTCAAAAAAATAAAAATTCTGGAAAAAAATTCAGAAAATCCATAAAAATTGAAAAAATTCAGAAAATCCATAAAAATTTGTAAATTTCAGAAAATCCATAAAAATTCAGAAAATTCAAAAAATTCAAAAAATTCGAAAAAAATTGGAAAAAAATTTCAGAATAAAAATTGAAGTTCAGGCAAGTGAAAAAATTCCAAAAATTTCAAAAAAAAATTCCAAAAATTCACTGAATGACTTAGAACACCTGCGGTCACATACTTTGAGTGAAATTTAAATTTTTTGAGGTGCTCAAGTGGTTCTTTTGAAGACTCCTTAGTTTAGGGATAAAAAGGGGTTTAACCCCCAAAAGGGGTCTTAACCCCTAAAAAAATCCTAAAACCCTAAAAGATAACACAATCCTTAAAATGAACAAGCCTTTAGGGCTTCACTAGGGCTTGCCATTTGTGATTTGAATTGATTGCGCATTTCCTTATTGATTGATTTCTCCTTAATTAGAATAATTAGAATTAGTGGATAGGCCTTGTAAACTCGCATGACACGTTTAGATACTTCGGATCGTTTTAAGTACCGAGAGGGCATTAGGGATCTTGATATCATAATCTTTAACGTAACCAACTCCCCCTACCCATGTAATCTCTGGTTCGTAGAAATCGGGGTAATTCTCCCTTACCTCGATTAGGTTTCTAGTCGACCGTTAAGGACTAGTGGCGACTCCAAAACAAAACATAGGCTAAATAGAAAATAAAATAACAAGTACCCGCTGTCTCATGAGGTATGGTCAAGGAGAGACCATCATTCGTTTAAAAAAATCCCTTATCATTAGAAATGAACAAAAATACCTCCTAGAGCGCTCAGGTAGGGAAAAGTGCGGCGTGACACTAGTACACATAGTGTCTAGGAAAACCAACAAGCTTTGGCGTCACATTGTCCATTCCTACAAATCTGAAAAATAAATGAATGATCCAATGCCCATTAAATGAAATCTTTAGTTTTAAGTTAGGAAAATCATCTTATCACTGCACCTGGTACAACAACATAAATGCATAATAACCAATAAGTATGCTGAAAACATGGATAAGTATTATGCCTTTCCCATTCACAATATTTCATTTCAGACACAAGCATATGGCATAACATATTGTACTCATATTCATGCATTAAGTTCGTTACTTCTCCTCCCGAACTCTCCCGAGGCATCTAGACCACATAACAGGGCATCTCGAAACTCCCGGGGCATTGTCACCTTTTTTAATTATGGGTGACGGAATTATATTATTCTCATGCAAACCATGACAATAAGTATTTACATGCATTTCAATACGCATACCCACCTTCTTGCTCCATCACATATTCCTCAAGAAGTGAGATTTTAGTCAAACAAACTAGTATGAAGAAATATGTAATAAGACTCATTAATTGAATATATTCAGAAACTGGGTATATTTCAAAAGTAGTTCTAAGAAAGCCAATCACTATATTCAAGGATTAAGTCTGAACGTGAATCTAAACAACAAATGGGTAGATTGTAAGTCTGAACAAATAACTGAGTGTATTCTGAATCTAGACAAGCAATGGATATTTCTGAGTCTGGACAAATAAATGAGTATATTATGAAGACAAAGTGAATATCTTCAGATTTGGAAGATAAATACATTTGGTTTTAGAAAGTAAATATATTCTGTTCATAAAGAAAAATCTACTCGGGTTCAGAAGTATACAGGTTCAGATTCAGAGAGTAAAATCTCCTCGGGTTCAGAAGTAAACATATTCAAATTCAGAGAGTAAAATCTGCTCGAGTTCATAAGTAAATAAGTTCATATTCAAAGAGTAAAATAAACTCGGATTCGGAAATAAACAGGTTCAGATTCAGATAGTAAAATCTGCTCGGGTTCAAAATTAAACATGTTCAAATTCAGAGAGTAAAATCTGCTCAGGTTTAGAAGTAAATAGATTCAGATTCAGAGAATAAAATATGCTCGGATTCATAAGACAGATTTTATGAACGACGTTTAGATCTAGATTTCCAAATATAACTTTTCCAAGTTCAGATTAATCATTTCCACTTACCAAATGTACCCCACTTTAAGAAAAACGAACAATTACCTTTTAAACATGTATGAGACCAGCAAGACGAGTTCAACAATCACTTCAAGAATGAGATTTCCAAGTTCAAATTTAACAATCTCACTTGCCAATTATACTACACTCTAAGAAACAAATCACACACCTTTTGAACATGTACGAGGCAAGCAAAACGAATCCAACAATAATCATATCCACACATTATAGCACATCAAAATGACATATCTCAAACAACTAAGTTAAAAGTGTCAAGTAGATTTAACTAACTTAACTCTAAGTCTTCACTTACCTTGAACGAGATCCGAACGACCCCAAAGTTTAAATCACCGTGAAAGCTTTTGACAAATTGAAGTTTAGACCAAAAGATAGACGAAACTCTCTTTTGAAGAACAATATCACCGAGGTGAAAAATGAGTCTCAAATTTTTACCCAAGTTAAGAGTTATGTTTTGGTATTGTTAGATGTAAGATTGCATGAAGTCACAGGTGGCTAATTCTCATCTAATCTACGCCCAAGTGGGGATGTGTTGGTGACTTATGGATATGTGTCATATTGGTGACTTACAGATAGAAGAAACTTTCTATGTAATGATTGCTTATGGATATGGGTCACATTAGTGCAAGAGGCTAAGTTTAAAAGTGGCATGTGGCCGTGCATGAATTCTCCAAGTGCCACGTGAGGTTTAGGTAGACATGGCCAAGGGCCGATTTTGGCCCGGAACCGGCCCGGGTCAAATCCGGGACCGGCCCGTTGACCGGGCCTGCGGTTTGGAACCAGAACCGGCCCGTGGCCTACGGGCCCGGTTCCAAAAAAAAAAAAAAACCCACCTCCTCCAGTCCCCCACGCCCTCCTCTCCCACCAATGACTAGTCCCTCATCCGCCACTTCTGCTCCACCCTCTCCTCCTCCGTCCACACCCCTCTCCGCCACTCCCACCCCCTCTCCGCCGCCGCCGCCACCCCCTCCGCCTCCCTCCTCCTCATGCCCTCCTGGTCCTCCCACCCTTCCCTCCCTTACATCGGCGTCAAGCTCGTGACCCACTTCCCCGGCAACTCCTCCGCACTGAACCTGCCGGGGGTCCACGCCGTCTTCATCCTCTTCAGCTCCCTCACCGGCCAGCCCCTCGCCACTGCGGACGCCACCGTGTTGACCCTGTACCGCATCGCCTGCGTCTCGGGCCTCGCCTCCGAGCTCTTCTCGCGGACCGACAGCAAGGTCCTCGTCATGGTCGGTCCCTCCTTCCCCCCTCTCCCTTGCGCCTCCTCCGGTCCTCCCCTTTTCTCCTCCGCCTCGCCCCCCGTCTTCCCAGATCTGACCCCCGCCGCCGTCGCTGCCGTTGCCCCCGCCCATGGCCGCAGCCGCCGACGCCGACGCCCCCTCCTCCTCCCCCCTCGCTACCCTGCGCCTCCTCCCCCCTCGCTACCCTGCGCCTCCTCCCCTTTTCTCCTCCTCCCCCCTCGAACCGGAACCGGCCGGAACCGGAACCGGAACCGCCCCCTTGCGGTTCCGGTTCCGGTTCATACATGGCCACGAACCGGAACCGGCGGTTCCTGAACCGTGGCCATGTCTAGGTTTAGGTGTCTTAAGAGAGGTTTTTGTGAAAAATCAAAATGAAAACAGAATTTCTACTCCCTTTAATACCATATTGCAAATAATTAATTATTATCATTAATCAACTAAAGTTTAGAATAATAATCTCACCCATCAACCATAAAGACGACGGTGAATTAATTAACATCGTTATAATATTAACGTATATATCGACGTATCTTAATTTGCAACACGTCGAACTTGGAACAATTACGTTCACGAAAATCATCCTCTACGCCTGACAAAATTTACGATTCAATTAAGATTTCTAGGTGTCCACCCGAATTCTAAGCTAATAACACTTAGCTTTAATGTCTAAGTATCGTTACCGGATACGGAAATTTTTGAATATCACATAAATACTTTTTCGAAATTTTCGGATGTCCCACGATGGGCCTAAACCCAGCAAGGGTTGCTGGATCTTAGACGGTGGCTGGGTGGCGTCGAGGTCACCATCCATCGCCTCCAACTTGGTCTCTTCCACCACCGGTAGACGAGGTGGATTTATTGCTGATGTGGACTCACTGGACAACTAGCAGCCACTTGGACGAAATTTTAAGGGAGGTCTGATTTTGGGACTTAGCTAAAAACTGATGATTTTTTTTAAACAAAAAAAAAATTGGGGCTTAGCTAAAAATTGATGACTTTTTTCAGATAAGAAGAAGTTCAGATTGTTGAGGATTTTATAGGGAATTGGCCTCCGTTTTAAACCCAACGAGATTTTAAAAACTCCTCGAATGAACCGACTCAACCGCAACAAAAGCCAAAATCAACAAGAAACTGCCATAGCACTGGGGTGGTCCAGGGAAAGACACGGCCAAATAAAGATGCCCAAACAAAAGTTTGTCCTCTCGTCTTTCCTCACCTCATTCTGTGCTTCCCAAGCTGTCTTTTGTTATCTTCTTCAAAGAATGACACAACCGGAGCTTTCAAACCTCTCTTCTTCTTCACTCCTTCACAACTGAGTCTGTATCCACAGAATGGCTTCTCTGCAGGAATTGCTGGCAGAAGAAGGATTCGAGGACGGACAGCTATTGTCGACCACCCCAGTGAAGTATCTCGATATGATGCGAAACGATGAGCCGAAACAATTGCCAGTGTACTTCTGCCGTGGTCGGAAAAGCCTCGAGTTTGCAGAGCAGAAACCCTTCAGGTGCAATAGGCGGAGGAATAGTTCGTCAGCTTTAGTGTCGGAAAGGGCCGCTTCTATGTCAGAGAGATCGAATGCTAATAAGTCGCTGGTATCAGAGATAATAGACGAGCCTGCCATCGATATGGTGGCTGTCAAAGCAGTGATCTCAATACTAAGTGGCTACGCTGGTCGGTATGTGAAGGATGAGAGCTTCAGGATTAGCATCCGCGAGAAATGCGGTTCTTGCTTGGCACGGAAGAAGAGGAATACTGACGATGAGATCCTGAAGAGGATCGAAACGGGTATCGAAAGCATCGAGAAGTTGGTGGACGATCCGGGTATAAAAAGAAAGGAGCTGAGGATGAAGACCTTGAGAAACTCCATTAGGCTTCTGAATGTTGCCGCTACTTTGAATTCGGAGAAAACAAAGAACGGTTCAGCTTGTGGGATACCCAATTCATATCTCTCAGCTTGCGCTCAATTGTACCTCTCCATTAGCTACAAGCTAGAGAAGAATGATAGAATCTCAGCTAGGCACTTGCTTCAGGTTTTCTGCGATTCGCCGTTTCTTGCTAGGACTCACTTGCTTCCCGACCTGTGGGAGCATCTCTTCCTTCCTCACCTTCTTCACCTCAAGGTTTGGTACACAAGGGAAGTTGAATTCCTTTCGAGCTCAGACGATGTTGAGGACAAGAGGAAATCGAAATGCTTAAGCAAGTTATACAATGACCAACTGGATATGGGCACTGCTCGGTTTGCGCTGTATTATAAACAATGGCTTAAAGTTGGGGTCGAGGCTCCTCCAGTTCCAGATGTGCCTTTGCCATTAAAACCGAGCCATGAATTTTCAAGGAACGTGAGACCACAAAGAATGCGTAGCCACAGATTGACTCGAAGGCAATCACAGGATTCATATACTTCACATTCCTCAATTAGTGGAAATCTGTAAGTGTATCCAACTGATGCCAAGTAATTTTCCAATGCAACAGTTTAGTTTATTAAGGTATGCTGACTGTCTGATAAGTTATATGGCTTTCTAATGGTTTTCTATGTCACTAAAGATACCAAGCAGTATTTGGCCCCCGACTGGATCGACGATCTATGGACCTTGAGCTTGGAAGTAGAAAATTTGGTTCGGTTGATGAAAAGAATCCCTGTAGTAGTGAAGAAAGCTGTAGTAACACCAGCATCATTCATGTATGTCAAATGTCGACTTGTTTCCTGTTTGTAATCTTTCTTTAGGAGTAACAGTTCCATAATATATTCAATTGCCTCAATGCAGAACGAGACTCTTCGAATATCATCAAGAAATTATTGCGAGAATCAGAAACTTGATTTGTGGCCTAAGACGCAGAAATCAAACTACGTCTCATTGCTTAACTGCCAAAGTGTGCCCATCCAGTGCCTGGTTAGCACAAATGGCATCTCCAGCAATAGGCAGAATAAACTGGAAGAAATTGATCCCCAAGTCTCAGATGATCTGGGTAAAGCCATCTCCAGTTTATATTGCTCAGATATTCTAAGTGAATGTGAAACTGCTATCCATGTCATAACAAAAGCCTGGTTGAGCTCACATGGTGATCACACCATTGAAGCATCAGTATCGAAAGCCTCGGTCATTGAGGGGATGCTTGAGGTTTTATTTGCATCACAAGATGACGAAGTTCTTGAGCTAGTTATCTCACTATTAGCAGAAATAGTGGTGCGAAACAGGAATATCAGCCAGATAGTTTTGAGCACTGACCCGCAGCTCGAGATCTTCATAAGGCTTTTGAAACGTTCAAGCGTATTCCTAAAAGCTGCCATTCTGCTTTATCACTTGAAACCGAAGGCAAAACAGATGATATCCACCGAGTGGGTCCTGCTCGTCCTTCGAGTCCTCGAGTTCGGCGACCAACTGCAGACCCTTTTCACTGTTCGTTGTGCTCCTAGAGTAGCGGCCTTCTACATACTAAACCAACTTGTTTTCGGTTTTGACGAGGACAAAAACTTGGAAAATGCAAGAGATATGGTCTCGCTTGGGGGATTGAATCTTCTTATAAAGCGGATCGATATAGGAGAATTTCAAGAGAGAATAAATGCTGCAGTTCTCACATCATGTTGCATCCAAGCTAATGGGACATGTCGAAATTATGTCGCTGAAAATATAAACAAGGCTTCTCTGCTTGAACTGATTGTACTTGAATACCAAAAGAAATCTACTCGCGCTTTAAATTTACTTATTGAGTTTCTTTGCCTTAGCAGGTACATTTTTCTTGTCTCAACAAACATTGTTCTTTAGCTATATTTGCAAGACCAGATTGGTATCCTTAGCCATGTTATTATAACAGAAGGTCACAAATAAACAAGTTCCTGTATGGAGTAAAAAGTGGATGGGGCGGGCTGAATGCTATGCACGTCTTGCTGATCTACCTCCAGAAAGCTTCATTGGAAAAACGCCCGCTGTTTGCCACAATTTTACTGCAGCTTGATCTTCTGGTATTTCTAATTGTGTTATAAAATATTCGAAAAATATAACCGCTGAGTTTTTATTTTCTGTGGAAATTTCGATTCAAGATCCTAGAACGACCTCCATAAGGAACTGCAGTTTCTTGCAGGGAGACTGTGGGATGTGCAGTTTATACAGAGAAGAAGCACTCGAGGCGATCATAGCCGCTTTGGATTGTCAATTAGTCACTGAAAATATCCAAGAACAAGTGGCGAGAAGTCTCCTGATGCTCGGAGGCCATTTTCTTTTGACAGGCGAGCCAGTGACTGAACAATGGCTCCTGCAGAAGTTGGGTTTTCCAGAAGATCCAGACATGGCACTCCACAGCGAAGATACGGTTCTTGGTACTACAACGCCCAGGGTTAGTGCATTATTCAAATTCAATTTCAAACTAGATTATTTGAGATGTTTCCAGGAATAGGGAGTCCAAGGAAAGGGATATTTAGTTTGTCTTGCGAGGGCACTTCATTTTGAAGTGGAATTATACAGGCACAACCTGTCTGTCCAGCGCAAAATTCCTTGATAGCAAATTACATAAGCTTATAAAGATTGGTGGTATACTCAGTTAAACCTTTAATAGCCAGATACGAATTGCATAACATTGCTGCTACACATCAATCCTCGACACATTGAGAATTCTGAAGCTAATATGGCATAAACAAGTTGATGATTCCAAAACACATTATTCAGCTGCTTTTAGTTGAAAGTTGCAATAAGCCTTGTGAATTTCGCGCTCTTTCGAACTAGCAGCTCTAATGAATAACATGTACTTCTTTGTCTACTTTCTGTGGAAAAGTAAGTTGTGCTCTGACTATAACCCCGAACATCGTGGTTTGGCTAATCGATGCTGCAATTTTTAGGACAAAGAGGAAGAGGAAACCGAAAACTGGCTAAGGAAAACAGCGCTCGTCTTGCTCAGGAATGGCAGAATGAGGTTTTTAACTGCCCTTTCGGGTGCAATTGAAAATGGTATCCCTGTATTGGTACGAGCTGGCATCGTCACTGTCTCATGGCTGAGCGGATTTCTCCATTTGGTCGAGGATGGAGATCTACAGTTGGAGGCGTGCTCGATTTTAATGCCACAGATGCTAAAGTCATTGAACTTCGATAGAGCACTGGAGGAGAGAGTCTTGGCATCATCTTCGCTTCTAAATCTCATCAAGAGTTCAGGTATTTGTCCCGTACAAACTGTCACAGAACCATGTCTTTTCCATCCGGTATGACAAAAGTGAATGATTCTAGTACCATATTATTCTTCAGATCCATTGTGGCCGTTTGGTGATAAGTCTTCAATAACTCATTCCTTTAAATTAAACCAGTAGAGAATGCCAGCACTTGTGTTTATAGCTAGATTTAATGAGCAGCACGTTCCATTCCAAAGACCTACAAGTTTGTTCCCCTTTAAATCTCGGTCAATCCATTTTCTTTTCCTTGATTTAGTTTAAGCGGGTCATTAGAAGTGTAGTCCCCATATTGTTACATCTATCATTAGGAAACACAAAATTGGCAATAAGAAGAGGGGACTCTAAGAAAATTTCAAGGTTATGAATGATGTGCAATTGCCACAGTCCCGTAGTAATGAATGACTTGCTTTACTATATTTCCCTTCTCAGGTTGTTTATCGACTCTCTGTGTACTGAATGAGGAATCAGTGAGCCTTCTGCACAACCTCTCCCTAGTGACATGGACGGCTGATGAGCTCTTGTCCTTTATCACCACCCACTCAAGGCACCCATGCCTGTGAGCTTGAAAGGGTTTATGCTATAAATGAGATTTCAGGTTGTACACATGCAGAATTGGCAATATCAAGTCATTCAGTGACTGGCTTCGTAATGTTATCATCAGTTCCTCTTCTCTCACTTCTCTGTAACTGAGCTCTGGAGTTACTTCGATATTATTTGGTAAAATTGTACAATACTTAAGGCGACGGACACAATCAGTTTCGCGACAAAGTGTTCATCATATTATGTGCTGTTCTTTCATGTGAACTCTATCCAAGGTACCGCATAATCTACTATGTTTTCGGAAATTCGACCATGACCAAGGGCACTTTGTCGATCACTCAAGATAAACAAAAGTCAATGATGAAAACGCGAGGTTGCTCGAAGCATTCACACGACCAATGTCAGCCGGCTACATAATATGGACAATCCACAACGTGTGTACTTTGGCAGATTAAATGTATGCAGGGTTCAAATATGCAAAAGCAGCTAGTTTCTTTCCTTCCCTTTCTTGGCTTGCCTTATGAAGCCATACAATCAGAATGCTCTCATAGTTAATTAACAAATGGCCCAGGATTATAACATTTCTTAACTTTCCAATACAGTTTGAATCACAAGAAAGACTAAAAAGTTCAATTCCGGAAAGGAGCTAGCTGAATTGGTAACCAAATAATCCCTAGATTACAAAAACTTGGCAGAATAGATAATTAAAAGACGTCAGGTAATGCTTGAACATTGAAAAGGCATCCACATTGCAAGAACTATTGGGTCTAACTTTCAGCAATATCAGTTTCAGTTTTGAAAAGGGGTGCTCCAACTTCTTTTTTTTCTTGAAAAAAAAAAGGTGCTACAGCTTAGACTTGTCAAAATGGGACATAAACCCATTTCTTAATCCATATATTAGTAAATGAGTTAGTTATATCTATGAAATGGATCATAAATGGGTAAAGGTATAATATGGGTGTTAAATGGGTCGTAAATGGGTTTACAACTTATTTAAACTCAACTCATCTCTATTGCCCTTATTCAATCCCGTGCTCACTCACTCCGCACTCTATCAGTTTAGATATGAGTTTTCCTAGATTTAGTTAAATATGCAAATGTTTTAGCAATATGGATCAGGTCAGGTATGGGTCAAGAAAATTGCATTGCGCATAAATGGGTCATAAATGGGTTAATGGGTCAATTTGGGTCGGACCATTTGTGACTCAACCCAAATCCGACCCAATCCACCCATTTGACAGGTCTACTGCAGCTTTAATAAGGTATTTGACAAATCTCTCATGAATGTATCATCTAATAGGCTGCAACAACTTATGACACTTCATAATACACCTATACCACAACGTATTATAGCTTATAACAGTTTTTAAGAAATTGTCTTACTCGAATTTAAGGTGCTACAGCTTTAAAACATATGCTTACACCATTTAGGCTCTATTCGTTTCGCGAAAAATGTAATGTTTCTGGAAAATATTTTCCAGAAAATCATTTTTCAGGAAAATGATAATATTTTTGGTGTTTTGCTAAAACTTGAAAATGAACTGGAAAATATTTTCCGCTGTTTAGTATAGAAGATCAGATTTGATTTTTCTCCTTGCACTCATTTTAATAATTTTTTATTCTTTTCTTTTCTTTTTATTTTTTTCTTTTCGCTTCTTCTTCGGCCGGTTGCGGCCATGGCAATAGCCGATGACCAGCCACAGGCGAGCCGAGCAACACTAGCCTTAGGCGAGGCGCCACCTTGCCAGATCCGACGAGGTTGATCTCGCTCGAGGCTAGCGAGCTCCAGCCTCACCCAAATCTGGTGAGCTCGACCTTGCCACAGGCTAGTGAGGCTTGAGCTCACTTGTGGCCGATCTCTAGCCATAGCTGTGATTTGGGTGAGGCCGAAGAAGAAGGAGGAAAATAGAAAAAGAAAAAAGAAAAAAAGGAAAAGAAAAAGAAAAGAAAAGAGAAAAATAAAAAAATAATTAAAAGGAGTGCACAGAGGAGAATGTGCTTAGTTATAGGTCAAAGAAAGAGAAGGGAAAAGAGTAAATCATTTTCTCCATTTTTTAAGGTGTTTTTTCATTGATGGAAAATGTTTTGCTTGACTCATTTATTTTCCATGAGCAGAACGCAAGAAAATCCGAAAAAAAATTTCTGAAAATTGTTTTCTGCGAAATGAACGAAACCTTAGTAACACGCTATCGCGCCGCGCTCTCACACGCTAAAGAGGTACTTCCATTTGTCACGAATGGGAAAACTGTCCCCGAATGGGCTACTAAGGTCCGATACGGATATTTTGCCCAAACATCTCACAGACATCCCATCACTAGACAAATAGGGGCCTCTCCCAAACCATACATGACAGCGGGTTGTGATTTTTTTTTATCTTTCTATTTAGTCTAATTTTAAATTTGGAGTCGCCACTAGTCATTATTGGTAGATTGACTAGAAACCTAATCAGGGTCCAGAAGAAATACCACAATTCTGCAAACTAGAGATTCTAAGTAAGGGGACTTGGTTACGTTAATAATCCCAAACTGATATCACTAACGCCTTTTCGGTATCTAAAACGATACGATATGTCTAACGTGTCACACGAGTTTTCAAGGTCTACTCACTAATTCTAATCATTCTAATCGCGGGCTATCAATCAATAATTGGACAATCAATGTCAATCAATCAAAGCAATCCTAAGTTGTCTCTAAAAGGAAGGCAATTCAAAACATTCAATGTCTAATGAAGCCCTAATGGCCTTTTTGTTCAATGAAATGTGCTGTTTTAGGGTTTTTTAGGGGTTGAGACCTCTTTTACCCCTAAACTGAGGAGTTCTCAGTTATGCCACTTGGACACTTAAAAAAATTCAAATTTCACTTTTGATAGGTGGCCACCAGGTTTCTTGGTCATTCTGTGAATTTTTGAAATTTTTGATTTTTTTTTTGGAAAGATTTTTTGATAATTTTGTTTCCCAAAAACTGATTTTTTTTTCTGAAAATTTTTATGGATTTTTCTGAATTTTTATCATTTTTGTGGATTTTCTGACAATTTTTTTTATGAAATTTCGGAAATTTTCTGATTTTTATGGATTTTCTATGAATTTTCTAATTTTCGGAATTTCTAAAAAAATTATGATTTTCGGAAATTTTTTTTTTAGATTTTATGAATATTTTTCTGATTTTTTTAGAATTTTCTGATTTTTTTATTTTTTTGTTATTTTTTAAAATTTTCCCGCCGAGGTGATTGAACTGGGCTGACCGATGCAGACCGGTCCGATTGAGTCGGACCGGCCGGCATTGGCACCGGCCAGCACCCCGGCGGGCATAGTGCCAAAATGGCGCCGTTCGGATCATTTTTTATTGTGGCATTTTGCCGAGCAGTTGGTGGGCACAAGTCATGAGTTAATGTTCTCAAGGCCGCCGGTTTGGATCGATCTCCGGCGACCTTCCGGCGAAGTTTTGACCATTCCACTTGATTCAATGTTGAGTCCATGTTAACCTTTATCAAACTAGCTTGACTAGCTCGCCATCGAACCGCTGCCGGCAGGCGAAAAACGAACCTAAATACCCTCACCTAGAGCAATTCTAACAACTTGATTTGTTAACCGTCGGATTGGTGAATCTAGCGCACTAGCCATCTAAATCGATCAAAATGAATATAAAACCATCAAACAAGATTAAAGAAGGCTAACTTGGATGGCCTATGGCCACGGGAGATGCTTCGGCGAGGTCAGGGCTGCTCCAGCGAGGTAGTTCAGGGTGGCCGAATCGGTCAAATGCAGGTTTAAGCATTCAGCATACAATCAAACAATGAAAAACATGATTAGAAACTCATCTCAGTCAGCAACAAGTTCAAAATTGCAGAGAAAATCACATGAACAACAAGATAAGGCTCAAACAGGTTTTCTGGATTTTGCTAAAACCATGTCAAGGAGGACACTTTACCTGCTTCAACGAAGTGCCAAATGGGATTTTCAGGACAACCGGCGACCGTGGAGCTCTTCCTCAACGCTTAAACTCCAAGCTGGTGGCCTCAGCTTCGCCAGGGAGTTCCTAGACACGATGATCGAGCGCGATTTTCAGGCGCCGGCGACCAAGTTCAACACAGGCTCTCAAGTGAGGAGACTCACCATCCAGACCGATTCGCCTATGCTTTTCCAATTGGAAAAGTACCGATCGCTCAGTCTTGGGAGCCTTGACTCACTCCCTCTCTGAATCTCTCTCTTTCTCTCTCTAACTCTCTCTTTTTCTCTCTCAGAAATTCCGTCGAGCATGTTCTGTGCGCGGGATAATGTTTTTCTTCCTTTTTCTAGCTCGATTTCCCACCAAAAAATTTGTTCCCACCGACCTCCGAGTTTGTTACATCGAATCTCCGATGCTAGCTGGAGATTCTCTAACTGGTAAAACTATTTTTCACGTGCTCAAATGGTCTAGGTAAGTCAGCGAAGTAGCGGGTCGGGAAGATATTTTCCATATTTTTTCATGTGTGGGGTTGAACCGAGTAAAGAAGATGGCCGACCCGGGTCGAGTCGGGTCGGGTCGATCCGACCGACTTGGCAAACCCGGGTTGGTCTAAAATTGCACATTAAGCTCGATTTTGACCTAATTTTTCAAATTTAACCCCAAAATTGGATTCCTCGACACATTTTGCATTCAAATATGAGATTTGTACCAATTTTTATTACAATTAAACCCAAAATCCCCAAATTTTAAATTCGGATAATAGGGCTTTTGTTCAATTCAGTATCTAGATGATCTGATTGGGAAAAATTGATGCTAAAATTGGATTACCCTTGACTGATTAACCCTAGGGATGGTGCTGCCTTGGTTCGACAATTTCGAATTGACCAAGATTCCCAATTTGGGCTTAAAATCCCCAATTTTCAATTGATTTTTGGGGTTTTTCAGTTATTTTGTTAAATTATAAAATTTGACCCACCAATATGCAATTCAAGATCCCTGAATCATTTGTTGTGAAGACACTATGGACTAAAAATGACTAGAAATGACTCAATTGAATTTTTGGTTCAATTTGGGTGTGAATTTGCCCAATTTTGGGAAAAATATATTCCCAATTGAAATTTTTCAAAATTGAAGCAGCAGTGATGAAATTGGAATTAAAATAAACCTAATGACTATTTTTATGGAATTTTTGAACTCCATTTGGTATTTTTCTTGATTTTTCACTCATTTTGGCCAAAAGAAAATAAGAAAAAAAATTC